GGCCCCCTGATAGTAAGAAAAACGAAATAAAGTTTTTTTACTTTTTTATCCCGTTCTTGATCCTGTTATTGAAAATTTGAACTGTAAGTTTTAACAAGAATCTAACATCCATTATCGACGCAGTAGGAAATTGTATACATCTTAGGTCTACTGAGAATGATCATAAACTACTATGGCAACATTTTGATTTAAATTATTCAAGATTACAAGCTGAAATTCAGTTACTGGAAAGCCCAGAAAAGGTGGATAATTATCCTCCAAATAACCTACAGAAAATGGCTTATTTGGCTAATGAAGATTGTAGAAGACTACGTATGTAATTTTAAGAGAGGTACTAATCAAGTTTTCTGTGATTCCAGTAACAAGCGTTCATTGCGAACGATGTTTTTCAAAGCTTGTAATGTAAAATCAAAGCTTCGATCTACAATGGGCCAAGAGCGTTTATCTCTTTTCATTGTTATTATTTATTGAACAGTCGAAAACTATGGAAATTGATATACTTGATGTTATCAATGAAGACAACTGTCCTTTTAGAAAGGCGAATGTTACTGCTATAATAGTGTTTATTTTTAAATTAGTTTGTTAATTATTTTTTCCAGCTCTTCAAAAATACTTTCAGCATCAACCTTTTTCATACGTTCTATACTGATGAATCGCCCACCGGGCAATACTTTTCCTTTTGGAATGAAGACTACAACCGACATTTGTTCATGATGCCCAACATCAGAGGTTTCATCTGCTATCAATGATACAGGACGATTTTTCATTTCGTCAGCTATATTTCTTAAAACACAAACTTTGTTCACTGTGCAGTGCACACCAGTGCACACTACACACTACACAGTGAACAAAGTTTTGAAAACTTTGTAAACATGGGATTTCCCGTCCATATGTGGTCAGCACGCTGGAAGTCAGGGTCACCACAATTGTAACACAAAACGGCCCTCAGTGCATATCAAAAGGGCAAAACTATATTTATGTGACAAATATATTATTATTATTATTATTATTATTATTATTATTATTATTATTATTATTACTATTATTATTATTATTATTATTTAAGATTTATATTTTGAAATAGTAAATTTTAATACATTTTAATCGTATAAGCAATTCTGGTAATCTTGTTATTAGCCTATAATTATTGTATTCAGGTTGTTTTAAATAATTTGTTGCAGTTGGCTTTATCCTAAAACTGGCGGAAAATTTATTTGTGCGAACACTTCAAGAGTTAAATTTTGGGATCTTGTTATTAGCCTATAATTATTGTATTCAGGTTGTTTTAAATAATTTGATGCAGTTGGCTTTATCCTAAAACTGGCGGAAAATTTATTTGTGCGAAAACTTCAAGAGTTAAATTTTAGGATCGAACATTTAGTTGGCCTAGAAACATGAGCTTTGTTTAATTCGTTTCTGCTTTTGTGTTTCAGACAGTTTTAATGACACAAGAGCCATTTATACGGTAGAGTGGATCTTGTTTATATGGAAATTGCGAGTTCTATGAGCGCTACCCCAGATTTGACAGGTTGCCCACCAGAGCGCTCTGAACTCTGAAGAGTGGAACTGGGACAACGAGTTTGAAATCCCGTCAAATCCATTGAAATTAATTCAAGCTTGTTGGACTTGCAATGGTATGATTAGCACCTATAAATTCTTTGAGTAGTGCATCGTTGCGCATGGTGGATATTGTGGAAGTAACCACGATGGATTTGTGATGATCGATAATAGTTTGAATTTCGTAAATAGAATGTAAAGTGTATATTATGCGTGTTGTGATAATGAACGATTGTCTTCAGCGTATCATAGTACCGCACGTGTTTTAGTATTTTCACTAAATTGTGCAAGTTACCATCAAAATAAATGATTAAACACACTGCTGTTTTTTTTTTCAATTCTGTGATGTGGACGTTCGTTTTGGGGGTAAATTAGTGTGTTTGCAAGGTTAGCGTGTAATAAACATCTTAAAGCTTCGAGAGCTAACTCGTAAGTTTGTTGTTGTACATTGTAATAAAACGTAAAATACATCGCAATGAGTGACACCTCGGAAATGGATGAAGATCAAGAAAAGTCATCAGGAGAAACTTCAAATGTTTCCAGTGGATATTTGAAAAAGCCTATTTGCCTGATAATATTGGGAATGGCAGGGTCAGGAAAGACTACTTTTGTACGAAGACTAACATCTACCATGTATGATAAACGGAAAATGCCTTATGTGATTAACTTAGATCCAGCCTGTCATGATGTACCCTATCCTGCAACAATAGGTATGCATATAAAATTTAACTTGATTATATACATTTTAATCAATCAAAAGAGAATTCAAAGAAATATGTTTTGTGTTTCAGACATCCGAGATACAGTAAATTACAAGGAAGTAATGAAACAGTATGGATTAGGGCCAAATGGTGCTATTGTGACCTCGCTGAATTTGTTCTCTACAAAGTTTGAACAAGTAGTTCAGTTACTGGGACGTGCTTCAGAACGTTTTGAATATTCAATCCTGGATACTCCTGGACAAATCGAAGTATTTACATGGTCAGCATCAGGCAGTGTAATAACTGAAGCATTAGCATCAACATTTCCTACAGTTGTAGTTTATGTTATGGATGCTGTTCGTAGTGTTAATCCAACAACTTTTATGTCTAACATGTTATATGCCTGTTCTATTTTGTATCGTTCCAAATTACCATTCATTGTAGCAATAAATAAGGTACGTACCTGTTGGCCTCTAAACGTAATTTCTAGAAAATATGTCTGCATCCTGAAATTTGTAACTTGTATGCATTATTTAAGATTATAGGCCTGTATTGTGTTCTGTTAAATTGTCTAAAAGTTATTTTTCTATTTCTTGGGGAAAAAATTACTCTAAATAAACTGTTTTTGTTTTCTTTTGCAGGTAGATGTGGTGGAACACAAGTATGCCCTGAATTGGATGAAAGATTTTGAGGCCTTCCAAGAAGCGCTGGAAGCTGAAACATCATATATTTCCAATTTGACAAGATCAATGTCCTTGGTGTTAGATGAGTTCTATAGCACATTACGATGTGTTGGAGTCTCTGCTGTCACCGGAACAGGCATTGATGAATTTTTAACTCTTGTAGAGCAAGCAGCAAATGAGTATGAGAGGTAATGCTTTTATTGTTTGTAATTAAATTTGTAGTTTGAAAGTTGAGAAAGGAAGACAACTGATTTAAAATTATTGCAGAGTAACCAGTGTCAAGAAACACATGAAACAATTTACTCTTAATGCCAAAATCTGGCATTGGGTTGTTACCTTGTGTGTGTGTGGTGCATGACTTCGACGGTTTTCTGGTATCTGGTTCTCCAGTATAAAATTTAATGGAAGCTGCAAGTTGAGTTTAATGACTAACTTACATTTTAGATGCTTCGTTGATGACAGCAATATGATAGCATTCAAATTCCAAATCTTTTCATGGAAGTTGTTTACCCTACTTACTACTTAGGCAAAGATATGAAAAATGTATTAAAAGTGAAATAGAAATAAGAAGGGGAGTATGGGAAGCGCAAAGCCAGTTTTGATCACTCAGAAATGTAAATGAGAAATTCTGTGCAGATGATAGATATGAATGTTGAGTTTTCAACCATCCTCTAATATTTAAGTGTTTAAGAACATTGAAACCTAGTACATAACTTTGGGGTTATGTGTACCACAGTTCAAAAACCTCTTTAGAATATTTAATTTTAACTTTATTTGTTTAGTAATAATTATATGGAACATATCTTTTATACAAATGAAATTATATTTTAAATTATGTATACATTATTTTGCAGTGGCAAATATCAAAGTCATCTTATATTCATTTCGTATGAAAATTTTAAATTTATAAGTTTTAAAAAGTGCACTTACTCCATTCTCAACCCAAGTAAAAATTCAGAATTCAAGAAGAAACCCAACAGTTAGTGAAAATGATGAACAATTTAATTAGGCAAAACAAGGACAAGATTGAGTACTGCTTAAAATCAAAATTATTAAATCACTTCAAGACCTAATTCCATTGCGGAAATGGGGGGGGGGTGTCACTTGGTGGTTGTGTTTCTTGGGTGTCACTGTAAACATGCAGAAAAATTGTTCTTTAAAAGCACGGAATATAAACATGACTGAAAATGCATTTGATATACTTATCTTTGGTGCTAGAAAAGGAGTATAAAAACTAAGCAAAGTAAAACATAATAAAAGACTTCCATAAAATACTAGGAATTTCTACTGAACATTTAAAGTTAAGTCAAAAGAGTTCCTACTATCCTGTTTCAAGCAGAAAAGTGGGCAATTGGCACATAACAATGAAAATATTTCTGAGAACTTGCTCCATATTTCAGGAAACTCCTGAATTGCCTTGGGCCTTCAGAAAGAAAACCTCCGGGAATTCTGACCAAATCTAACCCAGATTCATTAGCACCAAATGAATGAGAACAGAAGTGAAACAAAATACTAATGGTTTTAAGGAAAATATAAAACTAGTGGATATGCACCGCATATTGAAACTTTTCCTCCCGTTAGTTATTACTCAACAATTACTCATGTATTTAAAAAAAGTTCACATCATCATTTAAAGATCTACAATTGAATGTCTTTATGCTTTATTCCACCTACAAGATTCAATGTAGTTGAAAAATGATTTGGAAAGTTGGGATATGCTTTAAAATTTCAAGCAGCAAGGATGCATGCCAAAAATTAGTAATGGGCGGGATATGGCTGCAGAAAAGTTTTACAAAGTCACTTCAGGGAAAATAGAAAGAAGTTTTAACATTGCTAGGATCACAAAATAGAAATGATTTCCTCTGTATTTTGCCTGACAAAATAACAATAAGACCTATTTAACTTGATCTGATTAAAGAAAACAAGCCAACATTTCAAGAGAATGAAAGCAGTATGAGTACAAAGAAATGCAATCAAATACTAAAATGTGTGCATTGTGCTTTGTATGATATGATGGGGTTAAGATATGAATATTAGTAAGAATAAATGATAAACATTGAATAGATAGGTGAATAGAATAAATATAATAATGTAAATATAAGCAAAGTTCATATCGTAATGATTATTGAAAAATGTGTAGATTTTTACTAATAATTTTTAACAAATTATTATATGTAATAAACATATAAGTCCATTTACAATCCTTTTGGAATGCTCTTCCTTTGTGTGGTTCTTAATGATGTTTCTCAATGTATTATACTACATTTATTCTTGTCTTTTGATATATTTTAGTGAATATAGAGTACAATGGGAACATGTTCGAAAAGAACGTAAAGCTGCAGAACAACTCCAAAAGGAGAAAAAATTAGCAGAGATAGCCAAGAGTAAAGAACAAGGTGAAGGGGCTCCAGTACCCTTGATTCATGAGGTGAATGCTGCACAAGAATTTCTTGATGTTTACCTGAAGCACCCAGCAAATGAGAGTAGTGAAGATGAAGAGGGAGAGGAATTACCCTCACCTGCCCAACAGGAAGGTAAGCTTATGTATGGTATTTTTTCTGGATTTTTTTTCTTTCTTTTCGTGCCAAGATATTACACATTAAAACTGGTCATAAATGGCCCATTTCCTTGCCATTAAATGCTAATGGAATGAAGGCGATTTTAGAAATCAAAAATATATGGTTGGTTTGTGAACTTTTTTTCTCGTGATTGAGACTGTTTCACCACTTTTCATCAAATACCTGAATAAAATGAGTAATTTTGAATTTAAAGAACCCAAATGGGAGACTTTTTCCCAGCCGCAATAATACTACTAATTCGACTTACATTTTTGCCAACATGCTTATTTTCATACAGGAATAGAAATTGGTTCCAAATTTGAACCAGACTTAGGGGCAGTGGTGTCAATTGGCATTGTCAACCCTTTCTTCTTATTAGCAAAATTGTATTACAGTATCAATTCAAAATATCAATTGATGTTTATCCGTTCCACCACTCCCCACCAAATTAATTCTGGAGTCATCATCAGGATTGATTTGACAATAGTGTAATTGTGTTGTTAAATTGAGAAAAAACTGATGTAATGAACTGTAAAATCGGAAATGAATTTTAATATTTATGCAACAAGGGTGTTAAAGGGTTCTAATGAAAGAGTGATGGCATAAAGTTCTTGGGCCAAAAGCCTTTTTGTGTGCTACTTAATTATTACAACAAGTTAATACCCATGGTATATACAAGATTTTCTTTCGAATTAGAATGGTTGGGATTTACTTATTTACTAGCTAACTAGATGTTTGTAAAACCTTGATTTTCATTGTGTTTTTTCTTCATAATTCCCATCATAAGAGAACATGTCATTCAACCATTTTCGTATTTCTCTCATAACCATAATCCTCTTGATGCAGTTAAGCTATGCTCTGTATTGAAGGTAGTTACTAGCAATAACACAATTAGCAGTAAAAGATAATTCCTTTTTTATCTTTTTATTTCTCACTCTTACAAGTGTGTGAACTCCTGTATCATATTCTGCTCCAGAGGCCTTTTCGGAAATTGTTTATTGTAGCACACAGAAACTCGAGAAAAAATACTTCCCCAATGTGTTACAATAACTCATCTTATAAACTTTTTTCTCTATGACAGTTTAGTAATATACATATTTCTGCTGTATATTTCATTGGCGAATGACATAGATTACACACCTAGTGGATTCCAATTCAGAAACCACAGGCAGATTTGCATTCTCATTGCAATTTTCAAGACCGTTTTTAAAAAATAACAATCGCAGTGCTTGGAAATACCAAAAGGACAAAGCGGGGAAAGAAAGACAATTAGAAAAATAGGACAATCGGACAAAATGGGAGAATGAGACCAAGTGGTACAAGGTGGCAAATGGGAGAAAATGAGCCAAGGGGGCACAGGAGGAAAAGGACAAAATGGAACAAAAAAGGACAAGGTCTAAAAGGGCCAAAAGGGTCATATTTATCCAAAGATTTATGAACAGAGGTAAAATCCTAACTCGAGAGTCCTCTAAAATATATTTTCTGGAATATAAGATGAGCTTTTTTCCTAAATGTCTCAATCGAAAAATGTGGGTTTTATTCGGAGATTGTCAAGTAGGTTAAGTTATTGCATAGCCATTCCATGTCCCGAAACTTGTAAATGTTGACATAACAATTAATTGCGAAGAAGGTAAAAATATTGCACATATCTACAATTCAGGCAATTTACAGCAAATTTGCCGGGCAATTCAGGCCGATATTTTTGATGGGCCGGCAAAGAGAATATCTCTTTATATCTGGTTCAACGCCCTTAGTGTGCGAGTCAGCGTTTTTGAACTGTTAAAGAAACATGCCGTCAACAAGTGCCGAACAGAAAGAAAATCTGGTGACAAAGGAATGTTTTTATGTGGCTTGCATGAGACTAAGAACTACGTAAATTCAATGCACAAAACTTTTAGACTGACCTAAAATGTCTGAAGATGTCGAAGCATGGAAGGAGGACGAAAAAGAAAGAACATTGATACATGTGAAGATGATAGGGTAGTGACAAACACTGTATTTATCTGAATATATTTTCACTGTAAATATATTTTAACATTAATAATTTTTATTTGACTCTAATATTTTGATAGTATTTAAAACAGCCATTTTTCCATTTCTGATCATAAAAAATGGGAATGATTGGATGATATGTTGGTCATCATTGACGTGTAGGTTGAAGGACAGTTTGTCCTCTAGGTTTTTGTTGCAATATGACAAGAAGGGTAAGGAAAACAAAACATTTGCAGTGTTATATTCTTATTGGAAAATGTTTTTTCCATGAGGCAAGAATCCTTTGTATGCTCCCTTAAAAGTTGATAATTTTAGCTAAAAATTTGTTTTACTTATGTTATAGAATTAGAAGAGACTAAGGAAAAGGAATCCTTTATGAATTATCTTCTGCAGCAAAAACAAATTCAACAAAAGAAGATCGAGGGATCTGTCCAGAGGGCCACTACTAGTCATCAGTGACACTCGTGCAAATGAACACATTTTATAAATATTTTAATTGTTTAAAACAGTAAAATAGTTTGTAATATGATTTTTGTAACTTATTTCTAATATCCCAAAAGTTTATCCTACTTCACATATTTTGTGCTAATTATAATACTTTATGTATTTCTTAAGTAACTTTTCATTTCTTAACTAACTTAACATTTCCATAAAAATACATTTTTCCATGACATCAGTTCTTATAATTATGTAGTTTGGTTTGAAACTTTATTTCCAGCCACATTTAAAAAGTCTTTCCTGAACTCAACAAACTATTTGAATAACGTGTAGTGAAAAGGGGTAAGTTTTTCATTTCCAGTAATGTTAATAATTTAAAAAAGTTACAGGCCTGATTTTAGAATAAAATTTATTAAAACAAGAATAACAAACCCTTTTACAATCATTCACAATTTTACCCAACACATGATTTAGCAACTTGTTTGAATGAGAATGAAATATCTATTATATTGATCATTTGCTACAATGATAGAACTCAAAATTTGGTGGAAATTAATTGTTAGAAAAATAAATGGGATTTTTGGAGCCTTTTCTTGCGACTTCATTGCATAACTATCTTGCAAACTCAAGAGAGACGCATTATGTATTTTATATGCAAACTTGAAATTTCAAGCACATCTGAAAAATAAAAACTGGTTTTTTTTTTTGCGTTTTACCTCCATAGCAACAAATGGAACATTATGAATTACATGTCTATGCTGATAAACCTATTACACTCCGGTGACAAGGGATTGCTGATAAATTTGGATTTGTCTAGTTGGTCGGAACCAGTGATGGACTACAGTATATCATCAGCTTGTGGTGCTACAACAGTACATATTTTCTAGTATTATTCGTAAGTAAAAACAATATAATACTAGTTGAACCAGTAAAAATATTTCGAATCCTGGTATAAATGTTCTACTGAATGGGTCCATTGTGTATGGATCATTTGGCTGTTGGTATTCAAACAATGCTCCAGGCACATCTAAATGAAAGTTGAAGTTTTTGCAATTATCAAAATTTGAGGGTTTTATGAAAATTCTTCAGGGGAATGAGGTCACCTATTTTTCATCTTTTAAGCTCTCCCTCAAAAGTACCAAAAACAACTTGTGAATTGTTTTGTCTTGGGCATTGGTAAGGTGTTACATTAAACTTGTGAAGTCTAATATACAAGTCATACTTACAATTACGCTTTGTTTGGAAAAAAAAAACAAAACACACACACCAACAACAACAAATAGTATTGTTTACTGTAGTTTTTGTTTTGGTGTATATACCACAGTTCAGAAAATAAGTTGACAAGTAAAATAGCAATTCATGCAAAATTAAATTATGGTATTATGATGGATGTGAAGCTAAAGGACTTTGTGACCAAGTAATAAAATTAGTAAAAACTGCATTGTTTGGTAGGGAGAGAAACGATTTGTAGCATTTAAAAGCAAAACAAGGGAATTGTCTTTATTTATTTAATAAATCAAGGGTAAAATAGGTGTTTGGAAACAACTGTGCAAGTAAAATACAGTAGTTTTTTATTTTGTATGTTAAAATTACACAATTATGATTTATCTTCATCATCAGGGTATTCAAAATCATGAGTCTTAACATCTGCATCTTCTCCGTACTGTAGAATATTGTCAATTGTAAGTAACAAATCCGGTAGACTGTCATCACTTCGCCTATCTAACGGCACAAACCGCACTAAGCTATAATCTTCAATGAGCTGGCTGATAGCAGAAGTAAGATTTCTGTACTTCTCACCCCATCGAGATGCTGGACTATTCTCAACTTCTTCAAGCAGCAGATCTGGTTGAGGTTCAATAAATCTAAGAAAAAATGAAATAATGAGACAATACAATAATTTTTTTTAAAAAGTTAGTTCCAAATTATTTTCTAACGGTTTATGACAATATTAAAATAGATCAACATGATATTATAAAAAATCTTAACCAATTAAAAGTTTTGTCTGAAAGGATTTATTTCAGACACTTCATTGATTAACATTTATATTATATGGATGAATTAACAATACTCAACATATATTTGCCATTTTGTTCTGCCATTATTTGTTGTGCTTTTACTGTTTTTGTAGAAATCATCTTTAGAATAAAACCAAATCATTGCTTATAGGCACAGGGTTCACAACAAAAAGAAGAAATTCAAGTCTGAAAGGGCTAAGTCTGTTTCAATTCCTCTGTCCCTGTGATAGGAGTTTCAGTCCTTGCAGCTGGACAGTGAAGGTGAGGGGCTTCAGCAGTCAGCATAGAATTTGACCTTGCGGTTGCGGAAGGGGAATTCCGTCCATCTCGAATTTGAGCGTGGGAATTTGTACTGGCATGACTTCTGTTCACACACCTCTGCCCCACAATGAGAAACAACCCCTTGCCTAAAGCCACAATGGTCACGGCCATGCGATGATATCAGAAATACCTAATACTCTGGGCTGTGATGCATTATGCAGTAAAAAGTCAGTGAGCCTTCAGGTTGTGTCCACTAGAGAGTGAGGTGGTGTATTTTTATGAGTTTCACAACCAGTTTAACAATGGTTGGAAAAAACATAAAACTCAAAATGAATATTGGAAAAAAGAATAATATTTTAGTGCACAAATTGTGAAGGTTTTCTTTCCATTGTCAGAAGTATCTTTAATATTAATTTATTGGTGATTTCTTCCATAAATACGTTATATGTTAATGTATTTTTATAATTATCATTAATTCATGTACTTTATGAGAATCAGGATGAAAATATCAATACAAAAAGTGTCATAAAATAGACAACCCTGCATAAAACGGAAGCCCTCCCTAAACAGGAATATTTTTTTTGTCCCAATCAATTCAGGCTTAGACAGATTTAACTATACCAATTTAGAAGTAAAGGTGAGATTAAAACAACAAAAACTTAAAATATTAATTTACATTCTTAAAAAATTGTTTGGGTAGTTAAGAAAAAATGCAATACTTAACATGATAATATAATACTACAAACAAATTAGATAACCATGTCCAAAACAAACCAGATGAGAAAAATTAATGATTTGTGTCGGTTAAAAATCTAAAAATCTTCTGGACAAATCCTCAACAAAATTGTGAATTCCCTACCACAAGACTGAAATGCAATAAATGACATCTCCATTTGTCTCAATTGGTTGACTGGAGGGGGTCTAACTATGATGAACCAATGTTGGTTGCTTCATTATCAGGATTTTTATTTCTGTTTCCTCCTTTCATTATCCTATAACAACAAAACATCCCGTCTTTCTTGCCTTTATTGTAACGACATTCTGAAGTATCACAACTCTCCAAAAACACTCCAAACTGGTAACAATATTAACTTGTCTTAACCTCACATTCTTGTTGATACAAGGAAACAAATTTCAGAGAAATAATACCTTTCAGTACAATTTGGTTTTTACTTAAAAATCAAAATATTTTAACTATAATGCACCACCTTGTTTGTTATAGTAAATAATCACCAAAAATGAGTGCATTAAATATTTAACTAAGACTTAAACCTCCATAAATAATTTATATTATCGATCTCCACCACAATTTTGTTGATTGAACAAATGTTCATATGCGTCTCGCTTTACTTCTGCATTGTTAATGTGAATTAACCTCAAGTGCACTGATTAAACTATTTCTTGAAATCAAATATAAACTAGTGGTGCTACAGAATGGTACAGACTTTCCTATATTAGTTTTCTATTTTCTTTGGTATCAGCTAGCTGTTTGGGCTTTTCACATGATCTAGCCATCTGCCATCTATCTCCGCAAGTACATTTTTTTGAATTTTTTTGGTTTTATAATAGTATAACTAAAATATTACTTTAATAATATTACAGAATAGTAAAACCTCGCCCTACATGGTAATTTTCTTTGAGAAATTTGAAGCTGTTTAAAGAAAATGGCATTAAAGTGCTACTGTAAATGTGGAATTTGTACCTCTTTTTCACAGTAGTTCCGAAAAACTTCATATGAAGTAATTTCAAGCACTTCCAGTCAACAATGCAATAGTGTTAACAAATTGCTGGAAACGTGCAAATTAATGGTGTGAGAGAAAAAATTTATTGGTGTAATTTTTGAAACAAAAAAAAATCCAAATGAACTTAATGTCATATTAAAGAGTGCAATTAGAACTATAGTTTAAAAACATTTGGGAAACAAAAAAACACCATTTGGAGCAGTTTTGAAGAACATCGCAATTGAGCGTTTCTGAAAATGCGAGATTTTGAGTAATTTTTCACAGAAAATGGTTATTTTCAAGAAACTTTATAAGACATTATTTAAAGCGCATGTTGTCATAAATACAATGTGAACAAATTTCCGCTAATATAAATTTAACGTCAGAGACATGTCAAAAAAATTACAATTTTGTGATTTTTGAAAAAAATAAAAATTAGAGCAATATGACGATATCTCAGAGTGCATTTAGCACAATCCCTACCAAAAGTTTAAAGAAAAAATTACGAGCCATTTTCAAGAAAATTTGGTTTGTAATTTTCTCTCTCAACCTTAATGTTTATAACAATGCATTCTTACTTACTTGTCAAGTTCAGCACGAACAGTTTTGCTAAGCAAATCCATTTTGCTTAACACATTAACATGAGGGAGTTCCAGGTTGACCATTACACTTAGTGCAGCCATTGTACCTGATAAAAATTTTGGCACATCTACCATAAATTGTGAATCTAATATAAACACAGCACAGAGTCTAAAATTCAGTCTGTTTTGCAATATTTCAACCAAATCTCTCATGGTATTCATGTGTGTATACAGTTCAATTTGTCCAGGGCAATCAAAAATAATGTAATCGTCTTCCACATCACCTAAAGCTTCTTCAAACCAACTGTTATTCTCAAGAAGATATCTGAAAGATATAAATAATAATCAATTACAATGTGATAACTTGCTCACTACTTGTTACACAAATATATTAATGAAAGTAATCAATTTTCACCTTACTTTATAAAAAAAATCGGGGATTCCTTTTGGATGGAGTGGTACAATTGAATTTGGCAATTTTCACACATTTAAGGAAATTAGATGCATAAGGAAATGATGTTAAGCAAATATGTACTTACTCCATGCAGAATATTAATCCACCATTTGGTCCAAATTGTAAATCAGAATCTTCCATAGCATCAGAAACTTCAATGAGGCTACGGATATCAGCCAATGGTTCATAATCAAAATATTCAGCAGCGGGATCAAGATTCACAACATCAATGGTCCTTTTCATGTCAGCTCCATGTTTTGACAACATAGAGCAGTATGTAGACTAAAACAAGTGATAATTACACACGGATTATGAGTTAAGTCCTGTACCCATGACTCTCAACAACTCACCTTTCCGCTTCCTGCGGGACCAATTACAAGTTGACCGTACCGCATTGTTTTTATATCTACTATCAGAATTCAATGACAATGTTAGGTTTATAATTATAATATATCCATCAGTGTTGAATTATAACCTGCACGCGGATTGTATCAGATTGTATTCTGCCAAACTGTCTTTGATAGTGAAACAGAACACAATAATTATAGGCCTTCAATTCTGTTCCATATTTTGGGAATATTTAAACATTATTGTCTTTTTCCCCAATATCTTAAAACGAAACAATCACACGAACGCACAGGAACGCATCTAAGTTTATTCTATACAAGTTATATATACTCTCTGTCCAGCCTGTCACCTTTTCTAAATTCCAATGGTGGTGGAGCTCACGGAGGCAAAGAGCAAAGAGTATATTATGCAGTAGTGGTCATACAATACAGTTGATTGATACAATTGTATCTCTCCTCTATGGTAGTAATATTATATAGTTTAGTATGCGACCCACCGTAGTTGCTTGTCAGTATAATTTGTGTTGCAAGCACGCGCGTCGTGCGACTGTTTTTCAAATGTTTGTCAAACTGGAGGTGGGAATTCAAATCGAAATATTAAAGTTAATCCTGGAACGCCGTTTTGAATGTAGTAAGCGAAAGAACATGCCTGAAATCAAATAATTTGGTTCTTTCTTCCAATGTTTAAAGACTACTTACTATCAGTATACTCTTGAACGTAAGTATTATAATTATATCAGAAACTATGAACAGGCATGTTAGGTTGTTTTGACATTAGACTAGGCATTTCTATAAGAGTATTTCCTACCACGAGTGTGATTGCAGTATAATAATAGTAATAATAATAATATTTTGCAATAATAGTCCAGAATAATTTAATTTGCAAATCAATAGACTGGATTAGAAATATGAGCATCAAAATAACTATTGAAGTGGCAGGTGTAGATGTAAACACAATGAAAGGAAACATACAAATCATAGGCATTTATAGATTCCGAAATTCGAGCGTTAATGACTTTCTACTCATGTTGGAAGAACATTTAACTAAACTTATAGGCAACAACAATAGTCAAATTAATTATTTTGGGACATCTGAACATTAATATTGAACATAATGAACTACATGATTTTCTAAAGAGCTTCAATATACAGGATGTAGAATTATTAGGGCCAACATGTATTGCAACCCATTCCAGCTCTACCATAGACCACATCATTACAAACATTGAAATGTATAAATACTCTTATAATATTAATTTTCATCTATCTGATCATACTGCACAAATCATTGAAATAATCAATTGCCCCATTAGCCGTGAACTACCTAAATACACATTCACCCATCAGCGATACTAAACTACATTTGTTAAGTGAACATCTCCTAAAAGAGGAATGGACTAAAGTACACAATAGTAGCAATACCAATGTGAAATGGAACTTATTCCTGAGTACATTAAATTGTCACTTGAATATTGTATGTCCCATTATTAAGAGGCAAATTAATGGAGCAAAAAAACCCAAAATTAAGCTTCCGAATGAAACTCTTGTTCTTAGAAATAAAATAAAAAACATGTATGACCTGTTCAGAGATACTAAGAACCCATTTTATAATGAAAAGTATAAAAAACAATATAGGGTAAAACTGTTGAATGAGAAAACTTATCAATTAAATAATAAAGTTAACAACTCAACAAATAAATCTAAAACATTATGGAATATAATTAACAATAGGAAAACTCAGTCTCACAAAAACATACACCTACTACATAAAGGCATGTTTCTTGATAATCCTTCTGATATTTGTATGACCGTGAACTGTCATTTCTTAAATTCAAAGCAGGACATTGTAACCAATAATACTATTTATTCCTTATCTTCTTGAACATCAAAATGCCATCACACAAATGCTACTGAAGTTAATCGACTGATCAATTCCTTCAAAAATAGTTGCTCAACTGGGAATGATGAAATATCTTCAATAATTCTTAAAAACTCTAAGCCTGCACTTCTTATTATATTAGTTTACTTAATAAATTGATCTCTAGCTGCATTCACTTTCCCAGAATCCCTAAAACTTAGTATTGTAAGACCACTTGCTAAGAATAATAATAATACACAGGATGTTTGGAATTACCAACCTATAACTCTAACATCAGTATTTGGCAAACTCCATAAAAAAGTTATATTAGCAAGACTTAATTGTTTTCTTGAATCTAATAATATCCATAATAAAGCACAACCTGGCTTCAGGAAGGGCTTCTCCACCACCACTTCTATTGTAGAGTTCATACATGAGATCGTTGGGAATTTGGAATCAAATAGAAAAACAGCAGATTTATTCATTCATCTTTCAAAATCATTTAAAAATGTATCACATGAGAAACTATTGGCAAAACTTGATTATTATGAAATAAGGGGTAGAGTCAATAACCTCATTAGATCATACCTCACAGAACGTAAGCAATGTACAGATATCATCTGGCAATCTGAAAATTTATTATCCAAAGTTAAATCAAATTTAGATACAATTACATCTGGTGTTCCGCAAGGATCGGTGCTTGGACCTTTGCTATTTCTATTATATGTTAATGATATTCCAAGCTCATCTGATTTCTCTGTAATTTCTTATGCAGATGATACAATGTTACTATGTAGTGGGCAAAATCTAGAAGCTAATCTGACTGAATCATTAAAACCAATTAGAAGTTCTTAGTCCATAAATGGATTGAAATTAAATGTTGATAAAACTGTATTAATCAACTTCAAATTCCATCATGGTCACCAACACCAAAACATAAAAGTATGTTTGGTTTTTCTTTCTTAATATTCCTTTATTTTTTTGTTGATTTTCTTCTTGTTTAGCCGAGACTAATCGTACTCCTTTTTTTTTTTGAGGGTGAATCTGAATTGGTGTCGGGTTTTAATGTTGAATATAGAAGAGATGGCTTTGCATTAATTTTTATAGCTGAATATTCAAGAATTTTATTTATAAGAATATTAACTATTTTAATTTTTTTTATGGTAATTTATTTTCTTTACTATTTTATCTTATATCATTTGTTTTTATTTGAGTTCGAGGTACTTTACCTTGTTTTCGTTATGATAAATTGATATATTTGGCTTGAAGGACTTATTTACCTGATTATTTGATTTTTTTTTGTTGTTTTTCGTTTTGGATAAATAATATAGTTTATTGAGACATTTTAGGAAACTAAAGTTAATAGAATATAATTCTATCTTTTGTTTTAAAACAAATCTTTAAGCTTATTAACTTAATTAATTGATCTCATAGTTTAAATATTATGGGATTGATGATGAAATACATATAATATCTGATGGTTAAAATTTGTCCTGTTAAGATGTATGGTTCTTCAACTGGTTGGGTGCCAATTCAAGTTAGTAAAATAACAATAGATGAGTAAGTTCAGAATAGTATTTCATTAATTGGATAAAACTGTATTCTTCGGAATTTGTTTGATATTAAAGGTAAAGTAAATAAAATGGCAATGGATGCGATTAGAGCTATTACTCCCCCTAATTTGTTAGGAATTAATCGTAAAATGGCGTAGGCAAACAGGAAGTATCATTCTGGTTGAATATGTACTGGTGTTACTAAGGGGTTAGCAGGAGTAAAATTATCTGGATCTCCTAATAGATAAGGATTTGTAAGTGATAGAATAGTTAATGGTATTAATATAATTAAAAATCCTATAATGTCCTTAAAGGTGAAGTATGGATGGAATGGAATTTTATCTAAGTTTCTATTAATTCCTATAGGATTATTTGATCCTGTTTGGTGAAGAAAAAGTAGATGGATTATTACGAATGCTGCGACAATTAATGGGATTATGAAATGAAATGTAAAAAATCGAGTTAGTGTAGCATTGTCAACTGCAAATCCACCTCATACTCATTGAACTAAATCAGTTCCTAAGTATGGGATTGCTGATAAAAGATTGGTAATTACGGTAGCTCCTCAAAATGATATTTGTCCTCATGGTAATACATATCCTATAAAAGCTGCAGCTATAACTAAGAATAAGATAAGGGTTCCTGTTATTCAAGTGAATATTAAATTGTAAGATCCATAATATATTCCACGTCCTACATGAGTATAGAGGCAGATGAAGAAGAATGATGCTCCATTAGCATGTATTGTTCGTAAAAGTCAACCAAAATTTACATCTCGACAGATGTGACTGACTCTATTAAACGCTATATTGATGTCGGCTGTGTAATGCATGGCTAAGAAGATTCCTGTTATGATTTGAATTACTAAACATAATCCTAATAGGGATCCGAAGTTTCATCATGTTGAGATATTAGATGGAGTTGGTAAATCAATTAATGAATTGTTAATAATGGGTGGTACGTTCGTAGAGGTTTATTCATTAGTTATAAATTTGAGTGTCGTAATGGTCCCTCTTGGAGGGATGTAATTTTTACAAAGATAATTAATGTAATTAGGAGATAGGTGATTGTAATAATTATTAGGATGAAGTTTGGATAATTGTAGAATTGATTTAAGTTATTATTTTCTATTGTAATATTAACAATTTTGTTTATGAAGGAGTCATTTTTATATATATGAAATGATAATATATGTTTGTATATATTATTTATAATTAGGGTAATAATGGTGGATATTATGAAATTAATAATTATGGTTTTAATGGGTAATTGAAATATTTCATTTGATGCTAGTCTTGTAATGTAAATGAATAATACTATTATTCCTCCTAGGAAGATTAAAAATAAGATGTAAGAGAATCAAAATGAGTAGGAGATTGATCCTGTAATAATACAAATTATTAGTGTTTGGACAATAATAAGTAGGGTAATGGCTAGAGGATGATTTATTATAATGAAAAAAGTGTTGATTGTTAATATTATTATAGTAAATATGAGTATATAAATATCAGAGAATAGTTTAATTAATATTCTAATTTACTGATACTGATTACCTAATGCCCATATTGAGGCCCCTATTTCTGGTTCTATAGTGTTGGCAGGTGAATTATTAAAGTTGGGTAGTTATGGATTAATACACGTTTTTAGAATTATAGTATTTTGATGTCTAAAATATAATTTTATTTGAATTGGTATTAGATTAATTGGAGGCTTTTTAATGGGATTAGTATGTTTACGTCAGGTGGATTTAAAATCATTCATTGCTTAATCATCTGTTGTACATTTAGTTATAGTTTTAAGTGGTTTAATGACTTTGAATTCTTGGGGCTTTTGTGGTTGTTGTTTAATAATAATTGGGCATGGATTATGTTCTTCTGGTTTATTTTGTTTATCAAATATTATTTATGAGCGATTAGGGAGTCGTAGATTGATTATTAATAAGGGATTAATATGTTTAATACCTAGAATAACATTACGATGATTTTTATTGAGATCATCTAATATAGCGACTCCTCCTTCTTTAAATTTATTGGCAGAAATTAGATTTATTAATAGAATTATGTCATGAAATTGATTAAGAATATTTTTAATCGCTTTAATATCTTTTTTGGGAGCTGCTTATAGATTATTCTTATTTTCTTATAGTCAACATGGTATGAACTTTTCTGGTTTATTTAGTTATTATTAAATGGTTATTTTCGTGAATATTTATTATTATTTTTGCATTGATTTCCTTTAAATATTATTTTGCGTGGGGATTATTTTTTTAGTTGTATTTAGCTTTATTAGTTTAATAAGAATGTTGATTTGTGGAATCAAAGGTATATGATAGTATATTGGGCTATTAATTGAAATAATTTTATTTGTAAATTATCTTTTGTTGTTTTATTTTTAATGTCAATAGTAATATTTTTTGGGGGCTGGTTGTTTGTGTTAGTTTTTGGATTATGTGAGTTTTTGGATTGAAATATTGTAACTTTAAATTCTTGTAATATTATCATAAGAGTTCTTTTAGATTATAAATCATTATTGTTTATGAGATTTGTAATATATATTTCTTCTTTAGTAATTTATTGTAGAGATAGATATATGATGGGTGATCATAATCTATCTCGTTTTGTTATTTTGGTATTGATATTTGTGTTATCTATAATGTTTTTAATTATTAGTCCTAATTTAATTAGAATTTTGTTGGGATGAGATGGTTTAGGATTAGTTTCTTATTGTTTAGTAATTTATTATCAGAATGTTAAGTCTTATAATGCTGGTATAATTACAGCTTTATCTAACCGTATTGGTGATGTAGCATTATTATTATTATTGATTGCTTGAATAATAAGATATGGTGGTTGAAATTATTTATGAGTTTAGGGAATTTGGATGTTGAAATGTGATATTTAATTGTCTTAGTTATTTTAGCAGCTATGACTAGGAGATCTCAAATTTCTTTTTCTTCTTGACTTCCGGCAGCTATAGCTGCTCCTGCACCTGTTTCTGCTTTGGTTCATTCATCAACTTTAGTTACAGCTGGGGTATATTTACTTATCCGATTTGGTATAATTATTGAAATGTATTCAATGAATGATTTTATGTTATTTATTGGTTATTTAACTATATTTATGTCTGCTTTAGGTGCTAATTTTGCATTTGATTTGAAGAGGATTATTGCTTTATCTACTTTAAGTCAATTAGATCTGATAATGAGAACTATTGGATTAGGTTATTATGATTTGGCTTTTTTTCATTTATTAAGTCATGCATTATTTAAGGCTTTATTATTTATATGTGCAGGTGTTATTATTCATGGGATGAATGATCTTCAAGATATTCGTGGAATAGGTGGAATTCTGAATCAGATGCCTTTAACTTCTGTTTGTTTTTTAATTTCAAATTTAGCTTTATGTGGTATGCCTTTTTTATCTGGTTTTTATTCAAAGGATTTAATTTTGGAGTTAAGATTAATAAGAAATATAAATTTATTAATTTTTATATTATTATTTCTTTCTACTGAATTAACTGTTTGTTACACTTTTCGTTTACTTTATTATGTAATGGTGGGTGAATTTAATTTCAAAAGATTACATTGTTTGGGTGATGAAAGTTATGGATTTATTGGTCCTATGTTTATATTAGTATTTATGTCTGTAATTGGTGGTTCATTATTATCTTGAGTAATATTTAATGCTCCAAGTTTAATTTGTTTGCCATTATATATAAAGATTTTGGCGTTGGTTGTTAGTTTTATTGGTGGTTAAATTGGTTTTGAACTATTGATATTGATAAATTAATGTAGATTTAGTTAAATAAATTATTATTTTGTGGGGTTTTTAGGATCGATATAATTTATACACTATATATCGACTTATATAATTAGATCATATCCTTTATATGCAGGTTTAAATATTACTCGTGTGTTTAATTGTGGTTGAAAAGAATTTGGAGGTCAAGGGTTATTTATATTTTTATATAAGATAAAGAGTTTTTAATCGAGAGTATCAGTTTAATTATTTTAAGTATTATTTATTGAGTTTTATGTTTTGAATATTTATTTTTATTATTATAATATCCTTGTGTGGTTTGTCTATAATTATTTTCTATTAGACTATGATGAGCTCATGAAACTGTAACTCCTGATGCTAGTAGGATAGCTGTATTTAGAAGGGGGATTTGTATATGATTGAATGGTGTAATTCCTATAGGTGGTCAAATTATACTTAAATCAATGTTGGGAGCTAAACTTCTATGAAAGAATGCTCAGACGAATGAAATAAAAAAAGATACTTCTGATACAATAAATTGAACTATTCCTCAACATAGTCCTAGATTAACAACGAATGTATGTATACCTTGATATGTTCCTTCTCGTGTAATATCTCGTCATCCTTGAATTATAGTTAAAGTAATTAAAGTTCCAATTGAAATAATAACGAATCTGTATTGATGAAATATACTGATTAATCCTGCTGCTATTGTTATAGCTCCAACGGCTTCTGTAATGGGTCATGGTCTGGCATTAACTAGATGAAATGGATGATTTTGATGTGTTAACATTAATTTACTTCTCTTGAATATAATGTAGTTAATACAGTAAATACATATGATTGAATAATTGAAACAGCTAATTCAAGAATTAATAATAGAATTTGTGATAGGATGAGGATTTGGATTAAAATAGTTGAATTTATAATTATAGGTCCTGTATTACCTAATAAGGTTAATAAGAGGTGACCTGCAATCATATTTGCGGCTAATCGAACGGCTAGTGTTAATGGATGAATTACTTTTCTGATTGTTACAATACACACTATGAAGGTTATTAAAATAGGTGGGGTTCCTTGAACTAAATGGGCAAATATATGCTGGGTATTATTAATTCACCCATATAATATAAATGTTAATTAGAATGGTAATGCTAAAGATAGTGTGAATGTTCAGTGACTTGATCTTGTCAAAATGTATGGAAATAGTCCTAGGAAATTATAGAATAAAATTATTGAGAATAGGGAAATGAACAAAAAAGATCTTCCTATATTTATGTTTCCGATTAGCAGTGTCAAATTCGGAATATAATTTATTGATTAATAAGTTTCATATTACTAAGTCTTCGATTAGGAATTAATTAGTAATAGAATGGGATGATTTTTAGTCCTAGAAGGGTTCTTAATCAGTTTATACGGTTATATATGGTTATGTTTGATCAAATGATGAAAAAAGATTAGATATCAGTTTGTTGATTGAATTTTTTTGGTATGTATTACCATAAGGGTTTATGTAAATATTTTTTTGATTTCAAGGGTATGTGGCTTCTCCTTTTAATGATTGTATTGCTTTTTAATTTTGTTGCTACAAACATAATAGTAACTCACATCCAGCTCTACTCCTACCTCAAGCAAACAGAAAGTTCAACAAAATGTACGTAGTGAAGCCAAATAAGTGTGAATTAGAATCTCACCCACAATGGCATGCATTTTCTTTATTTACATTTTCAGAATTTTTTTCTTCCACCTTAAGCACTTATTAGGAAGCATTTTGCAAGATAATACACATAAAATTCGAGATTGAAATGAAAATCATGATTGGGGCATAATACAAAATGTTTCTATGGTTCTAATGTCTACCCGTGATAAGACATGTTGGGAGTGATACTTTTTAACTGTGATTGTTTTACATGAAAGAAGGGGTACACCATTTATTATTAACATTTTTTTCTCCATGAATACAACTACAAAGAGGTTTCTCAGTAATATTCATTTCTTTCAGTTTTGTGTTGAAGGATATAGAATAGAACACTGAACAGCATTCCCAGGTTCTTGTGAATAACTAGAGCGTGGTGACCAAAGATGTCATTAAACCCGCAAAATACAAATAGTTTATAGGAGCAGGATATTCTAAAGAAAATAGGTAATACACGAGTAAAGTTCTAATTAAATTTAATGTTTATGAATGATTAATCTTTAATAGGAATTATTAACACGCAAAGTTAATGCCAAATAATTTCTTGTGGTCATCATTTGCCTATTCCAGATTCAGTTGTCTTGGACCTGGATTAATGAAAAGGAAAACCAAATAGGGAAACATAAAATATAATGAAGGGGGGGAAAAAAACTTTAAAAAATTACAATTTACTGTTTATTTAAGCTACCAAATTTTGCAGAATGCCAAATACATTTTCTATAAAATACACATTCAACAAATACATTTAATTTCAATATAAAATATAAATGCAATGAAGTCAAATTTTCTGCTTAAACCGGCAACTGCAAGGAGACATCACAGTTGTGGTGTAATATTTGGGAATGCACATGCTCTCGCTAGTTCCGATAAATGAAAGGAAAGACTCGCAAGGGTGTGTCCCCCAATGCTAGGGAATATTAAGACACACGAGGTACCACACTCCTGGATTGTGTGGCATATTCACCCCACGAAGGCAAACAAGACATGATCAGAAATGCAAAAGAAGTTTATTGACATGCTCTCTCAAAATAATTCATTCATTTCCACACCATTCATTTCGCTGCCCTTATTTTCTGTGTGTGTCAAGACTAATGTTGTGTATGCTGTAGCAGCAACTTTCGTGGTCCAGGGAGAGACAAAATCTCTCATCTGTGAGGCTCTCAATATATTAAAAAACTGGAATTTGGAGTGGAAACAAAAATTTTTCATGACAGGTTTCAGTAAAACTGAAATCTGTGCTCTGGAAAAAGAATTTCCAGATTCCATTGTGTATCTTTGTGCTTTCCACACAGAACAAGCTTCGCTCAGATGGCTGGGAAGTCGGGAAACATTTATGCAGGTAGTGAAGAAGAGCTACTAACATTGCGGCATGCTGTTGCAAATGCAAAAAACGAGGAAGAATACAAAAATAACACTAGGAAGGTGCAAAAGAAATCGGATGTGTGTGCTAAGCTGTTACAGTATTTTACAACCAATAGCTTCCCATGCCCACAGGTGGGTGGACTGTCAATCATAAAGACATTGATAATTTTTTTTAATAAGATAATAGCAACATTTTTTTCATTTAAGAGGTAAAACGGTAAGCACTGTTGAAATTATCTAATATCAATGATTTTAAAGACGTAATAAAAACCAAAAATTCATTTCCGATTTTGATTGCAATAACCATCCATTTTTTCTATGTGAAACATTAATATTAATGTTTCTGTCTTTCTGCCAGTTAAATATTTGTTTAGTTTAGTTGAAATGTTGCTAATTTAATTGTTTTCTTGCAGTTAGAATTTTGTACAGGAATAATGAACAAATTTACGTTGTTCTTTAGGGAGATAAAAGGAAAAGAAAAAAAATTATTAATGTGCAGCTTAAGTTCCCAGTGTGTAAGGATACAAGCCTGAAAACATTTGTGATAAGTGTGATGTGGTCCATTAAATGTGTAAGGTGGTGAGAATTGTGTTGTGTGTGACAATGGTAAGAGGCTCAAATAGTGAAACATTAATACCCAATGTTCTAATGCCACAGAGGTAATGTACCGTTTTGGTATGCGTAGTAGAACTTTCGTGGTCCAGGGAGAGACAAATCTCTCATATGGGAGGCTCTCAATATATAAAAATTGGAATTTGGAGTGGAACCCAAAATTTTTCATGTCAGATTTCAGTAAAACAAATCTGTGCTCTGGAAAAAGAATTTCAAAATCCATTGTGTACTTTGTCTTTCCACACAGAACAACTTCGCTCAGATGGCTGAGGAAGTCGGGAAACTTTATGCAGTGGAAGAAGAGCTACTAACATTGCGGCATGCTGGGTTGCAAATGCAAAAAAAAGAAAGAATACAAAATAAGCACTAGGAAGGTGCAAAAAAATCAGATATGTGGGCTAAGGCTGTTACGTATTAATACCTAACAATGGCAAATCTCCCCATGCCCATAGGTAGATGTATTGTGTAATCATATTGACTATGTGACTGTTCAAACACAAACAATGGTATAGAGGCTCAAAATAGTAACCTGAAAACTGCATTTGGAAAAAGAATTTCAGATTCCATTTTGTATCTTTGTGCTTTCCCAAGAACAAGCTGGCTCAGATGGCTGAGGAAGTCGAAACATTTATGCAGAGTGAGAAGAGCTATAAATTGCGGCATGCTGTTGCAAATGCAAAAAAAGAGGAAGAATAAAATAAGACTAGGAAGGTGCAAAAAAATCGATATGTGTCTAAGGCGTTACATATTTAAACTACAGGCAAAATGGCTCCCCATGCCATAGGTAGTATGTGTAATCATATTGACTATGTGACTGTTATAACACAAACAATGTATAAGGCTCAAAATAATCGAACCTGAAAACTTTGCTTTAAGGAGAATTCTCAATCCATTTGTAATCTTTGGTGCTTCGGCGCAGAGAACAAGCTGGGCTCTCCAGAGGCTGAGGAAGTCGGAC